CCGTGGAATAATACGGGAGAATGTGGGCCGCATACTCCGTAGAACGGCGAATGCATTCAGGGCCGATTTCTCAGGGCGTACTGTGAAGGACATTCGAGGAGAGTAAGATAACCAAATACTTTTTGGCATGTAGCCATGTGCGCCCTCTGGCCCATTCCCACAATGCACGAAAAAGCGCTCGCTGAATCGCACCCGAATAACACATCGGTGCACTTTTTTGCATTCACAGGAAAGTGTCAGCACAACGACTACTGGTTGCAGCGTCTATATCCATTAGAAGATCATTGGTTTGGAACCACAGGAATTCAAGCCGTCCGCAAAGAGTGGACACGGGCTTTCAGGGATATCTGGAAGGTCATTCCGCAAATGTAACGGTCCAGAAAGGAGCCCTAGTGAACTCCAAATAAAACCGGAGCCAGGGAAGCGTTGGAGACTACTTTCACTCAGAATGATGTCTGATAGGAACCCATTAATCCAGCGTGAAGGTTCTCCTTGAATCCTCTAAGCCTCGAGTTTGTGGAGCAGCAGTGGGACTCGATTGAGTGCTTTTGAGAAGTGGAAGAATATTGTATTCGATATGACGCCCATGTCCTTAGCTGTCCATAAATACGAGAATGTTCGTCACGCGAGAAAGTTTTGGGAGGTATATGTGCTGCTCTGTATTTATCGGGTTGTTGGTAGTAAGATAATCTACGGAATGCTTCCAATCACTCTGCACGGTACGCTAGGGAGGCTAATAGGCCTGCAGCTGCCACGCGGTGGTCGGTCGCCAGGCAGAATTGCTCCGCTGGTGAACGACGTTTCCTTTAAGACCCCTGGATGAACCTCGTCTGGCTTCAACGCGCAGAACGGGTTGATCTTGTACAATAGTTGAAGAATGCCTCCTTCGTTAAGACCAGGTCGATTAGAGGCCGTTCGCATTTACGCCTTGACGTGACGGGATGTGACGAGGTAGCTGGGGCTGAATAAAGTCTGTATTATGTTCTTTGTAGGCCTCAAATACCACTATTAGGCCACGGGTTGGTTCCCGTTCCTGTACCTCAAGGAGGGCTTGTTTAACTAATTTCAGCGCCGATGTCTCGTACTTAAACAGCACAATTTTGTTTTTTTCTCGGGGAAGATCAAGAATAATAGTAATATTTATTCCCAGCTTGTGAGTAGCATACTGCCAGGTATGCTCATAATGTTACAGTCAAAATAAATGTATGACTGGCGGTGATTGTGGGAGCAGAGGGTAAGAAAAACGGACGGCGTCATATGGCGTGGGCATTACTCGATGTAGGCCTGATCACCACTTAAATGGCACGTATAGGGAAGCGCAGTTACCATGCGTTTCTGAAGAAAATATCCAGCAAGTTTGGATCGTTTAGATTTGAAGGCGTCGGGCAAAAAATAACAAAGCAAGGGAGAGCAAAACAAGAGGTTTCCTGCCTGACACATGACAGGAAAGTTGTAACGGCGGAAAATAAGGGACGGAAACATGAGATCAGATAAGGCTGCACCCAGCCGGCCATGTTGAACTAAAGCCTAAACTCACCGCTAAGGCCTCGTGGCCTTGGACTTTTGGGCTCATGGTCAGGGTCACACAGTGCAAGTTGAAATGTCGAGGTGGAGGAATCAGCAAAGTTGATAAGCGTTAACAGGAATCACAGAAACATGGTGTACAGCGAAACTGTAGAAACTCACCGGTGTAGCTGTTGTTAAGTCGAGCATAATAGTTCCTTGGAAGAGTGAAATGATGGCAACACCAGAAGTCGTTATATTCCAACGAAATATTCAGTAGATTGGAATGTACGTGTCACGGAGGTAGCTGGGGTCAGGTGAGGGCTCGTCTGTATTTGCAGTTAATGGAACGAGTGGGCAGAAGGAATGGAACATTTGCGATCGGGCTATCAAATTGGGTACGGCAGTGTCGTGCCATCATTGGCCCGACGTCACGCTTACGGCAGTTATGCCGGAAATGCCGATTCTTCGATCGACAGGCCTCTTTTCAGGCTGGCTGAGGAAACAAGGTGGAACGAAGCCAATTTTGGATATCGAATTTTTTGGTCCGTTTGTGGATCCTGTATGTGTATATCATATGCCAGGTGGAGTGGATAACAGCAAATTAGGTCATCCAAACCGGGTAGTGCTGAATTTCAAAGCTTGGGAAGACAACGGGACGGGATGAGATAGTGAAGCCTGGTTAGTTTGAGGAGACATCAAGTGGGATAATGTGCATAAATATACATAAAAAAGAAAACCTGACGTCTTCTGCAGTTAGGGTAGTGGGGACATGTTACTATATGGGACAGAATAGGGATGGATTTGTATTTAGTGGACTAGCGACCAGCGGTTGGGTTTTGCTAACATACGATATTAAAGTACAAGTGATCTAGTAAAAGCCTATATAAGCAAGCAGTTTGATGGATTGGTTGGACGAGCGAGATGTATAAGGGCTGATGAGAGTGAACTTCCGATTATGGACTGGTTAATCTGGTATTTATCATATGAGTTGGACAGCACTATGAGAGAAAGTAAGTGTAGGAGAAATAGTCACCAGTCCCCGAAGCACTGCCATCAGCTTTAGGTTCACAAGTGGTGCATGGCGAATAAAATGTCTTTGGGTACTAGACTTGCATGCTGGTAGCGGACGATTAGGAACACCTGTATGCATATATTCCTCATTGTATATGCTCACACTTGGAAGCAGTAGGTAGGTGCGTGTGATTTGTTCGTTTGCCTTAGTCAGCTTTGATGCGGTACGCCCACGATTATGACAAGGGCAGCTGCAGCTCCGCCGTCGGCGTAAGCTATGGGCATCATGGAGTCTCCAGGCCATTCTACCTGTTTTTACGAACTTCCCTTTTTAACAGACGGGGAGGCCAGTTTTTCATTTTTCCATCGCCTCTAGCTGTGGCATTGCCACTTAAATGACAACCGAGACGAGTCCAGCCCAGCAGCAACAAACAGAAAACAGCAATTCTCTTTTATCGACTTCCTGAATCCACTGGTGATGGGCGAAGCCCACGTACTACCTGGGGTTTGTGGTCATACGAACGCACCGTGGTGCAACGCAACAGGTGGACCCTCCGCGCAGGACGTACTGACCACCACACGAGGTTGTCAACTTGCGTGGATACTACCAGATCTGCAAGATAGCATGCCAGCAGACAGTCATAATTGCGGCTTGTGTATTAATAAAGAACTCCATGTGGCCGGCGGTAAGCTAGGCCAGCAAAACCGCTCACTCAATTCGAACAAGCAAACGACAAATGGCCGCTGGAAAGGACAGGTCATGGAGGCAAATGAGGCGGCAGCTACCACTAGGAAAATTGGGACTGAATGGAGATAATCGGAACGTGGGAACCATGGCTGAACGATGACAGAGCGAGAGCTATCGAGCCAAACAGTGACGCAATGCAATGTAGTGTGTCAGTGCTGAATGGGTTGCGAGGCGTTTAATCCGTTCCAAACTATGGGGAACTTTGACTTTTGCTTGTTTTAAACTGGTTATGGTAAGGTGGGATGAGGCACCACTCACTTAAACGTTGGATAGAGTAGTCCAGCGCAGGACCTACCTGGGAGGAAAATGGTGTAAGCTGCTTTGAGCAAGTCAGAGGTAACAACATATGGTAAAAGGGTGGATTATTTGCTAAATCATAGTTTTCACTATTTTCCCGTGCACTAAATATGCCACCGCAAGTTCATTGATGGTCTAGGCCCCGTTCGTCAAGGAGACTGGAGGCTACAGCCTCATACGTAAGGAATTTGTCTACAGACTGAGAAAACTTATGTTGATGTGAGAAATTTTAGACCGATCTGTAAGAGTGTTCCAGATGCAGGTGTAGTAAGCCAGGAGGCTCGTTTTCTTATTGGCGGATTTCTGATTCACGGCGGCTCCGCCCCATTAAATTTTCGGACAATGGTCCTGCTTAAGTATTACACTGAAGCTGGACGTAGTTTAACTTGTTTAAGAAAAACAAGGGATTGTGGCTGACTTGCGCAGTATCTGGTGGGCGCAGCGACATGTTGAGTCCAAGCGCTTAGTAGAACGACTTTGGTCAGCGACGCTTTAGAAGGTCCACTTGATCCGACGCCCTGGAGCTATATGCGGAAAGCCCTTGGAGCGAGGAAGAAATGAGTGAATTGGTACCTCGAGGGGAGATCGTAAAGGGATCGTATGGGGACTTCCTCATCTTCCGGAGGACTCAAGGGGCAATGATGGACCACATCAAGAAGGAGAGAACTGTACCCGCGCAGTGGCACTGGAATCAACAGTGCATCGGATAGGACAATCGAGAGTGGCAGAGCCGCATGTAAGAATAGAGCAGCCCCACCAGTTCTCTCTCGTTTTGATTCGGCTAAAAACAACCGAGTGGTCACCTATTGGGATCTTTGCGCCAAATACCAGGTGTGAGCCAAGTCTCAGTAAGTGCACTTATGGATGGCTGTTTAGGGCAAACTTAATTATATTGCAAGATTTGCTGAGAAGGCTGAGACAGCCTGTTAAAAATCATTTCAACACTTTCCCGATGCCTCCGAAGGTGAGAAACCGGGGGTTTGCGGCCAGAGAAACTAGCAGCTTTAATAGCTGTACGCCAGGTTTGAGACCAAGGTTCTGGAGAGGGCCCTGCGGCATACTTGTCTGCTGCTGTCTTGGTGGTTCTGGGAGCTGATTTCCATTTGCACGTTTTCTTCGACCCGTAAGAGCCAGGCTTGCGAAGGGGGGTGAGTTTTATTCCCTGTGGGTGGAAATTTCGGCCGCTGCTACTTTTAGCTCGTTCAATACCGCAGTTATTCAATGATTAGGGACGAACATGTGTTTGGTTTCTTGGACATTCTGGCGCGGTTTGATCAATAAATTGTTTTTAGAGGCCCTAAGCGTTAGTTAGCAGCACTAAAAAGTATTCCTTTTGGTGGCTCTCCCATGAGGCCGTTCCCCCGAAGACTGCACATTGAATCTTGCAGGCACGTTTCTGATTTGGCGAGTCTTATGTAGTTTTTGGCTGTATTCTCCTTTATTTTTTGTTCGTATGGACTCCCGGGTCACCCGAGATCAGCGTGCCCAGCTGGGTGTACGAGGGATTTTCCGGTTCGATGTCAGGTTTGGGGCTTTGGTCGTCGGGGTTTCGGGCAACCAATGTGTCCATGAATGAAGGGGCCATTTTTGACGGAGTGGAGCTGGCGACTGGCAGTTTCACGGTTTCAGTGGTTGCGGGGTTCATGCAGCATTCCTTGCTGTCGAGGTCAATGCTCGTGGTTGATTCTTCGGTAGGCTTCACCACTTGTCTCCGTAAGATTGACCTGGTCCAGCCCAGACGTTGTGGCTTGTGTGTGGAGTTCACTGCTGTACCTTTATTGTCTTTTACGGGAAAAGTCGATGATAGCACTGAGTAATTTGGGCGTTGCGTCCATCCGGGTACTTGCCTCATCCCAGAGCATTGCCGTCTTCGGCAATCGATGGGTTTGTCTCCACATGTTCGACTCAGTATAGCACAGAAGCTATGACTGGGATGTGGAGTTCGCTGCTATACATTTATTGTGCATTACAGAAGTAAGCAGTACTAGCCCTTATAACTTTGGGCGCTGCGTCCACGCGAGGCTTGCCTCCTCCCGAGCATCGTTGATTTTGGTAGCCAAATGGTCTGCGGTGGTTCAGTAGAATATGCAACCCCAATTCAAGACCGGTTGTGTCGGCGAGCACTCGGGACACGAGGGGCCTTGTCTGCCATCGGTTTGGCCATAAGTTCGAGGCCGGTTGAACTGGCGTCGAGCGGAAGGCTGCTTCGCACCTTACAACTAGAACGTCTGTGGCTTAGCTTTCGTGTCTTTATAGGATGGGAGCACGTTTTAATTGCAGCAATTAGAAGGGATTTGCCGGTACTTAAGCCTCTCCAGAGCGTACAAGACCGCGCTGTTTCAGCACTTTCCAGACATCGTAAATATCAGTGAAATTCTGGGAACATACAGATTTGGATAAATCTTTCTGATACAATCACATATGGCGCGCACGCCGAACGCTACGTTATGCATTCCCTTGTGGAAAGCGGGCAGTCATGCGTAAGTTGCCTACTTTGTTCAGGGGGACAATGGGCGCGGCATCAAGTGTTACGGCTATCGGCTTTTTGAGTTTGAGTCACGCGTGTCAATCCACGAAAACGACCAAGAAATCCGAATTCTGGAATCACGGTACTCAACGGATTCTCCTCTGCAGATACCATGGGGTTACAAAATAAGGCGGTACAATCACCAGCCTGGGGATAAAGCGCAGATTACTCCGCCTCAAAATCGATATCATCACAGCCAGACAGATATCGAAGGCGAGCAACCGCAAGAATCACAATGTCCGACCAAGGTCGGTAAGAGTTATAAAAATAGTTCACTAAAACAAGAAGGTTTCAGTTTATCTGGTCAAGGGGGATAAATATGGGGCTTGGCTGTCCTATGGGGTTGGAAACGGGTGCACGTTGTTGGCAAGCTGTCTTCTACACCAAGTGAAGACATTCGACAAGGGCAAGTTAGGTGTCAAAATGTTGACGGCCAGCATTGTGTTCTGCTGTGGCGTCATGTCGTGCTACGTTCATATGCGCAAAGCTATCATGAAGTGAACATTTATCCAGTAACAGCCCTGGATTTTGATTACATGTACTTTCCTTTTCATGTTAAACTTCAGCCTCAAACTATTTACCGGCTCTCCGGAGGTGGCTACAGAAAACCTATTATTTTTCGCCACTTCCAATGAACTCGCCTTCCAATTAAGTGGGCCAGAGTACTTCCAGGATGACCTCAATCTATTTAACTACAAACGCAAATTATGGGCATAGATCACACAAACCTGAAGACGAAATACGCACCCCCTAGCCATTTCTTCGAATATTGTGGGTGAAGTTCATTTTTGTGAAAGCCTTACGTTCTTTGAACGCTTTTCGTACTATCATAAGGAAATCAATGTTTCAATCAGAATGATTACACGAAATAATTTCTGGAAATACCAGAACACATATTTCTGCGCCCCTCTGCTAAAACAAACCATGCCTTTCGATTCAAGAGTGACCCTATAACCCATTTCGCATCAACACGTTTAGTGTTCCACAGAATATTATGGCTGCAGAACTAACTGCAAATTCCCTCCATTTTAAGGCAACCAAATTTTCTGATAAGTCTAGATATATGGCAGAACCCTAGAGGCTCACGAGAAAAAATTCTCCTTGACTACTGAAAAATCTTACGTTAGTTTTGAAGGTCGATCCACTGACAGCAACTCTACAGACTGCTTCACTTTTGCCGGAGTTCGTTTGGGTGGAAGCCTTGAGAGAAATTCGAACATCAACTGCTTCAACTTGTCCTCGCGAGCTCACAACGAACCAGCGGCTAACACAGAACAATATTTCTTATAAATATCACGTGAATGCTATCTTCCGTTTGGAAAACACGTGAGGCATTGAGGTGTGCCACTAAATTTGTTCCAGCTTTGTCTGGCAACTAATTGCCACAAGCGAATCTTAAGTGGTCGGCATTGTGACAGGACTGGGCAACATACCGTTGGAAAATGCAGCCAGGGTAAATCAGCTCCCTAAAAATAGTCTTGGCCCCTGTATCATCCGTTATGTTGACAATGAAATTCCCCACGTTTATTATGCCCCTATTTGTAATCCCCGCCCCATTTTTGTGTTTAGTGTGTATGTATGAACTGACGATTGTTTGTCCTTACCACTTCACCCATTTGGTCTTGAGGTCATCCGGCCATTTGTATATGACTTTGCACGTGTGACTGTCGCACGTTGGAGCCTGTTAGCTCCCTTGCTTTGCACTTTTGAAGTCCAAATGGACTGTTTGTTTTGGACGCGTATCTACTGTCGAGGTTTGTACAAATTGTGAATTTCTCTTACCCTAATGATACCGTATAGAGACCCAGCTCCGACTTTGTTTTGCCTACCCGGAGGTTCTGGTATTACGCGTCACTCGAAGATACCGTTCGACCGTTACAGCCCCAAAGCCTCCATATTTTAACATTAAAAACGAACTACGTTACCTGCTGATGGGCGGCATGTCGAACTAAATGCGTGACTGATGAGGTGTCGGTACTCAGCATTGTGCGGGAATGGGCAGTCACAGAGATGATAGACGTTGTCCAACACAGACGGAGTCACGCCTAACTCAGCTACATTTCAACGCAGTGGATTTTGGGGAGAGTGAAACATGGTTGATGATCATTTCCAGATTGCAGGAAACTTGCCACATTCAAGTGAGATCAGACCGTTAAAATTCCAAGATATCGGGTAAAGGCACGATACAGCCAAAGTTGGCGTAATTCCTGTTCACATATTCTTTCATTATATTTTCAAATCTACAAGAAAATCTCTAGAAAAAGCACGCTTACCATGAAGCATTCCACTTTTGTGACAGACACACGGCAAAAAACTGTAAGTTGCGGACAATAAGACAGAAGGATAAGGAACCTGGAGCAGATGGAACGTTTCAGTGATCCCGCTCGCCAACTGAATTAAAACTAAAAACCACTGTTACAGCTACGCGGTCCTGGCTAATATAGGCCAGGGTTACAAAAAGCGTAAGTGGGAATGATGTGTTGAAGCAATCCGCAACGCGCATATATGATAGCCTGCATGATAGTATATGTGAATATCAACATCACGGTTTATAATAAACATTTCAACGCGAAATTAATTTTGATCTGCCTCCACCGATCGGAAATATTGTATTCCATTAGGCTCCTTTTCCTGATTATTGGTACTTATTAACCTTGAAAAGAAGCTCACTTTAACAACGTCCACATACGACATGTTTGCACAAAAGTTGATTATTCATGGGAAATTACACTCGTGAATTAGCAAGCTTGAAAACTTCGTTTTTTCGGAAAACTGCTTTTATATACAGGCTCTTGATTGACTTCTCAGTTATTAAACTAACCCATCAGATAACTGTGGCAATCTTTCGGTGATGCTGGAATGTTAGACAAACTTGCAGACATTGGCATGATTCAGAACCAATTAGGTGGTGTATAAAATGGCGTGGTCATGCCATTGGGGTCTGACGGGTGTCTTTGGGGCAACACAACTAATGAAGGCTACATGATAAGACGTTGTGACTGAGTTGAATTCATTAATTTGGACCGTGGAAACAAAGCTTCTGTAGTTGTTCTGAACTGAAGATGATTGCAGTTGCGAAAGCCTCATCAGGTTACTCAACTTGGTTAACTTTTCATGTCCTGGTGAGCGAGATACAAATAGTGGACATCGCTAGAATGAAGAAGAGAGTTTCTATTCTAAAAAATAAGCTGGGTTGAAAGCAAACATGCTTAACGATTCTGAGGTGAGTCACAGTCTCTATAGAATGCGGCATTCTGCGCTAGCAGTGTTACTATCATCTAGTGGATAGACACAGTGAAACAGTGACAGATTACTTGATAACGTATGTGGATGGTTCAAGTGGTTTTTTGGGGGTTGCCTTACATTTCTTCCCTGGAACAGCAAGCGATGCAGGATTCTAAAACTATTAATCAGTGCAAGAGTGCAATGGACCCTGATATCTAAAAAAAAACTATATTCACGAGGTACCCAGTTCGGCACTGCATGAACACATTGATTGTTCTAGGGATGTCTGGGGGCAAATCTATTATGCGGTACCTTTATGAAGTCAGCTCCTCGTGCGTATTTCCGCCTGAGCTAGTGCTCTGCACAGCACTGGCTAGAAGGATGTTGAAATCACATGTGAGGAACATTAACGTGGAACAGCACAGACGGATACTCACCAACGACAATATAAGAAACATTATGTGAAAATCGGGATTAGCTGCGGTAATAGTGTTACCGTGGCACCGCCAGCAACTCCCACAAGAATTTCCCTGTTGAATTACATGTGATCATTTATTACTTTAAGGGTCGTCCCACTGAACCAAGGACTCGGGCCGGAACAAATCCAGTTAGCACGACGGACGTCCACTGATGCACTGAGGGCCCAGCGTAGCTAAGTAGCAACGTAGCAGTGTCACCCAGAACAGGCAGCGAAGCAAATGGACAGGAGTTTCGGGACAGGGAAAAGAGCAGGATGGGATCACCAGAATCCACCAAAACAACCTGTCGCAATGTAGACGTTATTTACCGTAGCTAACGTATGTCACAAGAATTGAACGAAATTACTCAGATGAGCCTTGACATCCCTGCCAAACCAAATTCTGGCGTGCCAAGAAACGAGCCGGGATATTGTTAACTGCATGTCGAGTCCATCGCTTGCGCGCAATCCTTGCCATAATCGGCCGGACTGTGTTATTTCAAGCAAAGCATGAGGCAGAAACCAAAGCTGAGTTAAAAAGCAATCGGTTGTAGGCTTACTAAACTACTGGGA